TGTTGCTCCGCTTCCTGTGCAGTGTGAAGCTGCCAGAAATAACGCAGGCTGTCAAATCTGACAGAGCCGAGTTTGAATCTTAGCTCTACTTTCACTAGCTGTAAGACCTCAGGCAGACTAGTAACCTCTAGCTACAACTTCCACCTGCAAAATGAGCTGATAATACCCAACCCTAGAGACATTTGTCAGAATTAAAAACCTGTGTGAGCCGGGCATGGTGGCTCACACCTGTAATCCCAGCACTTAGGGAGGCCAGGGTAGGTGGGATCCCCTGGGGTCAAGAGCGGGAGACCAGCCTCGCCAACATGGTGAAACCTCATCTCTACTAAAAATACAAAAATTAGCAAAGCATGGTAGCGGGCATCTGTAATCCCAGCTACTAGGGAGGCTGAGGCAGGAGAAGCGATTGAACCCAGGGGCAAAGGTTGCAGTGAGCCAAGATCACACCACTGCACTCCAGCCTGGGCAACAGAGCAAAAAACTGTCTCAAAACAAAACAAACACAAAAACAAAAATGTATGCAAAGACTACCATGAACTCTTTTTTTTTAAGAGACAGAGTCTTGCCCTCTTGTCCAGGCCGAAGTGCAGTGGTGCAATCATAGCTCATCATTGCAGCCTGGAACTGCTTCGCACAAGCCAATCCACCCCACTAGCCAATTTTATTAGTACTATTTTCTTTTTGTAGAGAAGGGGGAGTCTCGCTATGTTGCCCAAGCTGGTCTTGAACTCTTGGCCTCAAGCAAACTTCCCTCCTCTCAGCCTCCCAAAGTGCTGGGATTACAGATGCAAGCCACCACACCCAGCCCATGAACTTTTTTTTGGCCAATGAACTCTTGATAAATGATACATTTCCTTCCCTATCTCCCTAAAGAAGTGATTTAAAGCAATCTTTAGATTTCTTTTTCTTTCCTTTTTTTTTTTTTGAGACAGAGTTTCACTCTTCTTACCCAGGCTGGAGTGCAATGGCGCAATCTCGGCTCACCGCAACTTCTACCTCCTGAGTTCAAGCAATTCTCCTGCCTCATCCTCCCAAGTACCTGGGATTACAGGCGCGCACCACCATGCCCAGCTAATTTTTGTATTTTTAGTAGAGACGGGGTTTCACCTTGTTGACCAGGATGGTCTCGATCTCTTGACCTCGTGATCCACCCGCCTCGGCCTCCCAAAGTGCTGGGATTATAGGCATGAGCCACTGCGCCTGGCCTCCTTTTCTTTTCTTTTTTTTTTTTTTTTTTGAGGCAGTATCTTGCTGTCACCCAGGCTGGAGTACAATGGTGTGATCACAGCTCATTGCAGCCTGGACCTCCCAGGCTCAAGTGATCCTCCCACCTCAACCTCCTGAGAAGTTGAGACTACATGTGCCCCCATACCCAGCTAATTCTTTTTATTTATTTTTATTTTTTCTGGAGACAAGGTCTCACTATGTTGCCCAGACTGACTGCCTTATGTTTCAGTGTTCCCATCTATTAAAAACCAAAATTATCCTGTCACCACCCTCCGCCTCATAGGATGGGATGAGGTGACGTAGATGAAAGCAAAGTGCTTAGGAATCTAGAAGAATGACCCTGTCTGGACTGCCAACACCGTCTCCTATCACTTCTAACCCAACAAAGGAACAATGAGCTCTTCTAATGTGTTTATACCCTTAATAATGTGACGCAGGGTGAAATGGTGCCGCCTTTGTGGGAAGTCCTCAAAATGGCTAAGCAATCAACTCTCCAGAGTCCAAATCTGCCACCCTCCTACAGAGGACAGTACACATGAGGTCACTGTTGGTCACTAAGGGCCAGGCAAGTTTTTCTCCTTCCACACTCTTGTTTTAGGGGACCCGAGAGGAAACTGAGTTATCAAATACAGTTACATAACAGCTGCATACTTTTTATTCATACCAAGAAAACAACCACAAACCAAACAATTCCACTTCATTTAAGCACCACCATGAATTCACCGTCACGTTTCCCCACAATATAAGGGGATTTTTGTTGGTTGTCTCATTATTTTCCCGTCAGAGCAGTGAAATTAGGACATGCTTCACATTTAGATTAGTGAATCTAAAGGATGTAAAGATGTTTTAAGACTCATGTCTTAAAACGTGAATCCAGAGCAAGGCCCAGGCTGAGGAGATTCATTGGAACTTCAACTTTTAACTGTCTCAGGTTTCATCTATTTGGCTTTTTTTTTTTTTTTTTTGAGACGGAGTTTTGCTCTTGTTACCCAGGCTGGAGTGCAATGGCACGATCTCGGCTCACCGCAACCTCCGCCTCCTGTGTTCAGGCAATTCTCCTGCCTCAGCCTCCTGAGTAGCTGGGATTACAGGCACGTGCCACCACACCCAGATAATTTTTGTATTTTTGGTAGAGACCAGCTTTCACCATGTTGACCAGGATGGTCTCGATCTCTTGACCTCGTGATCCACCCGCCTCGGCCTCCCAAAGTACTGTGACTTCTTTATCTTTAAATCAAAAGGCATTAAATTCAGTTATACTGAAGCTACTAGAAAATGCGGGTTCACCTTTCAGGAATATGCCTCCCGTTCCTCCCTCTATTAACTTCAGTAGCTCCCTCTCAGAATCACTACTTTTGCAAATTACTAATCAAGCATGACAGAATGAGTAGAAATAGGCTAAATCTGGAGGGAAAAAATGAGCAAGGCTGATGAAGATATAGCTATTACTCCTTCCTTGCCCTCTGTCAAACATGGTTCTTGGAAAACAAAGGCGTTAACACCATGCAGAAGTTTTAGGAGTCAGTTCTTTGCTAAATATTTACATGTCACGATCCCTGAAGCAAACGAGGTAAAGATGAAAAAGGCAACACGACTCTGGTGAGATCTCTCTCAAGCAATCGGCACTCTCCACTCATCCTGTGTTTTGTTCTTACCGTGTCAGCTCTTCCAGAAGTGCACAGACATTCTACGTGTATACGGACACATGTGTTCACTACTCTCAACTCTAGTTTTTGATGAGCGTAACTTGGAAAGGATTTGGGCAATTAGGAAAAACTGCTAACACGTTTTATACAATCCACCCGACTGAAGGCAATCAACTGGCGGGCTGGCTAATGCCCTTTGTATAAAAAAAAGCTGACCTAGCATCCACCTGCATCAACTTGATCTGCTCAGCTTTGTCACACTCAGCAAACATCCTCTGCCTTCTGAGCAAAATACATCGGCACCTCCAGTAGAGAGAAACTTTTTATGACTGAGTCTGGAGAAGCAGGCTTGACACCCAATTTACAAAGAACAAGGGTCTGTGGAAGACCTTGCATCTAGAGCAGCTGCAGTGCCAAACCTACCTTATCAAAAAAAAAAACCTCCACAGGTGGTGGTGTTCCGTTTCAAGGAAAATGCCAAACACACACAAATACTGAAACAATAGTGTAAGGACTTCCATACCCAACATCCAGCTTCAACTATTTTTAAGTTCTGGGATACGAGTACACACGGGCAGGCTTGTTACACGGGTGTACATGTGCCATGGTGTGCAACGTGCAGGCTTGTTACCCGGGTGTACGTGTGCCATGGTGCGCAACGTGCAGGCTTGTTACCCGGGTGTACGTGTGCCATGGTGCGCAACGTGCAGGCTTGTTACCCGGGTGTACGTGTGCCATGGTGCGCAACGTGCAGGCTTGTTACCCGGGTGTACGTGTGCCATGGTGCGCAACGTGCAGGCTTGTTACACGGGTGTACGTGTGCCATGGCGCGCAACGTGCAGGCTTGTTACACGGGTGTACGTGTGCCATGGCGCGCAACGTGCAGGCTTGTTACACGGGTGTACGTGTGCCATGGCGCGCAACGTGCAGGCTTGTTACACGGGTGTACGTGTGCCATGGCGCGCAACGTGCAGGCTTGTTACACGGGTGTACGTGTGCCATGGCGCGCAACGTGCAGGCTTGTTACACGGGTGTACGTGTGCCATGGTGCGCAACGTGCAGGCTTGTTACACGGGTGTACGTGTGCCATGGTGCACAACGTGCAGGTTTATTACATAGGTATACATGTGCCATAGTGGTTTGGTGTACCCATCAACTCGTCATCTAGGTTTTAAGCCCCTCATGCATTAGGTATTTGTCCTAATGCTCTTCCTCCCTTTTGCCTCCTCTGACAGGCCCCAGGGTGTGATGTTCCCCTCCCTGTGTCCACGTGTTCTCTCCTGCTTCAACTATTAACAATCCATGGACAATCTCCCCTCATCTTGTTCCACGCACTTCTGTTGGCATCTAAAACTGAATAATTCTGAAGCAAAGCCCAAAGCTGTATTTCAACTTCAGTCTGCGTCTCTATAGGGGTTTTTAAAACCTTAATCATGAACCATTACCAAAAGTAAACAGAACTATTATAATATCCTTGATACCATCAAATAATTAACTTATTTTGAGATGTAGTCTCACTCTTTCTCCCAGGTTGGAGGGCAGTGGCCGGATCTCAGCTCATTGCAACCTCCGCCTCCCCGGTTCAAGCGATTTTCTTACCTCAGCCTCCCCAAGTAGCTGGAATTACAGGCCTCTGCCACCACACCGGCTAATTTCTGTATTTTTAGTACAGATGGATTTCACCATGTTGGTCAGGCTGGTCTCGAACTCCTGCCCTCCGCCTCCACCTTCCAAAGTGCTGGAATTACAGGCGTGAACCACCACACTAGGCCATCGTCTCCGTTTTAAAATACATTCTTTCATCAAATCAGGATCCAACCAAGGTCCACACCTTGCATTAACATTCGTTTTGAAACTGCACACAGGTCCTCCTCCCTCTAATTCCAATAGCAGCCAGGCTGATCCCCACTGACAATTCCCAAGTAACTATAACAACTTTCTGGACATACCACAAAGAACCGCCGGTCTAAGAACTTGTCACATGTATACATATGTTTATATTCATACACACGAAACCATTTCACTCGAAGCAATAACAATCCTGAGAGCTAAACACTCGCTCCGGCGTCCTTGGCAATGCTTCGCGGTGGGGGTTATCTCTGGGATTTAAGCAACACTTCCCCTTACCAGAATCATTTTGCGCAAGCGTAGCACCAAGCGGGAGCTGTTTCTCCCAGCTGAACCTTCCTCCGGAGGCCGGGTTCGTGCGCTCGCCTCCGGACTGCAGGGGGCGACCCTACCACCACCTCGAGGCCACCTGTGCGGGTGGGAGAAGGGGCTTCAGCCGCTGGGTTCCTGGGGGTGGTCGCAGGTAATCTAAGGGAATTTTAAGCCAGCCAGGATGGTCATCCAGGAACCTACCGGGACGCAACGACCTCGGAAAACAAACAGCCCAGCAAAGCCCTTGAGCTTAATCCCAGTGCTGGGAGCGCGCCGGGGCGCCGCCCCCAACGCCCGAGGCCAGGCGCGGGGATGCAAAATCGGCCCCAATGAATGCACGCGCGCGTGTGTGTGACTGTTCACCTATGGGCGCCAGGAAAGAGCGAAGTTGCATACACTCATTTCCATAACCTCGCTGGGTTTGTCATGTTTAAAAACCGTCTCCCCTGGAGAGAGGGTGGCGAGTGACTGGGTGCGGGACACGCCCATTCCCCGGACCCCTGCCCTCAAACCCACAACAGACCCCAGCTACTAAGGCTCCGCGGTAACCCCCATCCCGAAGCGGGCAGGCTCGGGCGTCCGCGCCCCACTCCTGGATCTCTTTAGTAGCAGAGAATCCCAGCCGCTGAGTTCCTGCAAGGGAAACTCCTTTCCCTCCCAGACGCGCCCCGCCGGGCAGGTCGCGAGCGGCGCGGGGACCGTTGACTGAACCGTGGCGGGGACGCCGGACGCCCTCCACCCGTGCCCGCACTCACCTGAGGATCGATGGCCGCCGGCTCCGCAAGGTCGAAGCCCCGGCACCTGCAGCGCGGGTGCCCAGGTGACTGCCAGAGGGAGGGGCGAGGGCCCCGCACGCCCGCCTGGTCCCGCCCCGCCCCGTGCGCTCCCGGGAAGGGCGGGGAAGCACGGCCTTGGGACCCCCCGGCGACCCCGCTGTGGCTCAGCGGGCTCCCGACCAGGAAATGCGGGCATCGGAGCCCGGCAACCTTTGAGCGCGTGCGCCCCGTCCAGCCGGACGAAACAGGGGCTGGAGGGCGCCGCCTGCCGGCGGGACAGAGAAATATCATGGACACTGCCGCCCCCGACTGGCTGGGAGGGGCTGGGTTGAGAGTGGCAGAGGAACGCCCCAGGGGTCGCAGTGCCGGAGCCGCTGTGGGCTTAGTGCGACCCCCTTACTCCTGCCACGTCTTGAGGACCCAGCCCCTGTCCTAGGAGGTCCCTATCTCCCCAGCAGCAGGGGGCCACTGGGTCAAGGGCCTTGCAGAGGTCAGCGTCCTCCCCTTACCTCTTCAAACTTAGACTTGGTAGTTGTCTCCAGGTTAAGAGTAAACACAGGGCGGCCGGGCGCGGTGGCCTGTAATCTCACCACTTTGGAAGGCTGAGGCGGGCAGATCACCTGAGATTGGGTGTTCGAGACCAGCCTGGCCAACATGGTGAAACCCCATTTCTACTGAAAATATAAAAATTAGCTGGGCATAGTGACACGTACCTGCAATCTCAGCTACTCGAGAGACTGAGGCATGAGAATGGCTTGAACACGGGAGGCGCAGGTTGCAGTGAGCTGAGATCACGCCCACTGCGCTCCAGCCTGGATGACAAGAGCAAGACTACGTCTCAAAAAAAAAAAAAAAAAAAAAAAAAAAAAATGTATACACAGGGTGACAGAACTTGAAACTTGCATGCTTCTAAGCAACTGTCTGCAGTGCAGTATGAATTCAGATCTTTAAATAAACATCTACAAATATTAAATAGCATATGTATTGCATTGCCTTTTTTGTGTCAACAGTGCTAATTTGTTGTAGTCATTCAACAAATATTTGTTGAGCACCTACAACTTGCCAGTCATTTAAACATTTAAAATATTGAACAATTAGGCTGGGTGCAGTGGCTCAGGCCTGTAATCCCAGCAACTTTGGAGGCCAAGGATGGTGGATCACTTGAGGTCATAAGTTCAAGACCAACCTGGCCAACCTGGTGAAACCCCATCTTTACTAAAAATACACAAATTAGCTGGGCATGATGGCACATGCCTGTAGTCCCAGCTACTTGGGAGGCTGAGGCAGGAGACTTGAACCCAGGAGGCAGAGGTGGCAGTGAGCCAAGATCTCACCATTGTACTTCAGCCTGGGCGACAGAGCAAGACTCTATCTCAATAAAGTAAAATATCGTATAAATTCTTCCTTCTCCTCTTCATGCAGAGCCTTGAACAAGGGGAGTGTTCTGGGCCTCTCACGGTTCACTGCAGTCTCCATCTCCCATCTCCTGGGTTCAAGTGAGCCACTGTGTGGAAATATGCTGCCTGGAAATTAATACATGAAAATTCTGAGATGGGTCAGGCCAGTTCATTTCCATCATAAAGAGCCACAGTGATCTCTTAATCAAGTTAAACTAGCTTTCCCCATATGGTATGTTTAACCCTTTAAGTCCAGCTACTGGAATGATGTTTGAGAGTTTCATGTGTTTCTTCTCTTGAAGATTACAGGCATGAGCCACCGTGCCCGGCCGAGCCTGGTGTAGTCTTAACACTTCTTCCCACTAACTCCATCTATCTACCGTCTAAAGGTTTCCTTTCATTCAGCAAACATTTCTACGTTCTTACTGTGTGCTGAGCGCTGTATGGGAGATGTGGGGAAGGGAAAGACGAACATGCAATTGTAAACACACTAAGCTCTCGTTGTGATGGGAGAGGCCTTTTTTATATATCACCCATAACCCTCACAGCATCCCTGCAAAGTAGATATTACTTTATATTTTATAGATGAGGAAACAGATTTGGACAGGTTAGGAACCTGCCTGAGGTCTGAGACGGAAGTCAAGTCCAATTTTTGGTTCTAATGCTTGTGGTCTGTCCCTTACACAGTCCTGAAAATGCAGATAAAGAAACTCCAAAGAAAATTCTATCCATTTCAGTTGTTTTTCTCAGGTTCGCACTGAGGCTGAAAACCATAGTTTGATGATCCCAAGCTCATGCTAATACGCTGCCTGGAAATTAATATGTGAAAATTCCGAGATGGGTTCACCATTTCCATCATAAAGAGCCACAGTGATCTTTTAATCAAGTTAAACTAGCTTTCCCCATATGGTATGTTTAACCCTTTAAGTCCAGTTATTGGAATGAGTTTTGAAAGTCTTAGGTGTTTCTTCTCTGAGGACAGGACCATTATTACTGTAAGGCGAGGTGCAGGCAAGAGAGCTAGCATTTTCTCTTCCCTGCTGTGATTCTGGCGGTTGTCAAATATTTATATACCTGTACTTATTTGTTTTTAAAATCAAGGCAAGTATTTAGACAGTAAAATATATTCAAATGATAAGTTTATTTCAATGACATAGGTGAAATGTAGTGACAAAATTTTCCTTCTTAACATTTTAAATGTTATTATTTATTTATTTATTTATTTTTTAAAGACGGGGTTTCACCATGTTGGTCAGGCTGGTCTTGAACTCCCGACCTCAGGTGATCCGCCCACCTTGGCCTCCAAAGTGCTTGAATTACAGGCGTGAGCCACTACACCCAGCCCAACATTTTAAATTTTTTAATTAATTTTTTTTTTTTTTTGAGACGGAGTTTCGCTCTTATTACTCAGGCTGGAGTGTAACGGCGTGATCTCGGCTCACCGCACTCTCTGCCTCCTGGGTTCAGGCAATTCTCCTACCTCAGCCTCCTGAGTAGCTGGGACTACAGGCTGTGCCATCATGCCCAGCTAAGTTTTTGTATTTTTAGTAGAGACGGGGTTTCACCATGTTGACCACGATGGTCTTGATCTCTTGACCTAGTGATCCACCCGCCTTGGCCTCCCAAAGTGCTGGGATTATAGGCGTGAGCCACCGCTCCTGGCCTTATTTTTTATTTTTTTGAGGCTGAGTCTCACTCTGTTGCCCAGGCTGGAGTACAGTGGCGTGATCTCCGCTCACTGCAACCTCTTTCTCCCAGGTTCAAGTGATTCTTGTGCCTCAACCTCCCAAGTAGCTGGCTCTACAGGCATGAGCCACCATGCCTGGATAATTTTTGTATTTTTAGTAGAGATGGGGTTTCACCATGTTGGCCAGGCTGGTCTCAAACTCCTGACCTCAGGTGATCCAGCTGCCTCAGCCTCCCAAAGTGCTGGGATTATAGATGTAAGTCACTGCACCTAACCAACTTTTTTTTTAATTAAGGAAAATTTTAAACATGCAAAGAGAAAAAAAACAATGAGAATAGTATAAAGAGCTCCTGTGTTCCATTACCCAGCTTTAACAATGATTAACTCACGGTCAGTCTTGTTTCATCGATACCCTACCCACTTCCTCCCACACGTTTTGTTCTGAAGCAAATCCCTGACTATCATACTATTTCATCCGTGAATATTTCAGCATGTACCTCTAAAAGATAAGACTCTTTAGGGACCAAGTGTTTTGTCAAGCATTTCCTGAGACTGATCTATGGGAAATTTGCAAGAAAAAAAAAGGTCTCAACTATTTTGCAGAAAACTGCACTTCTTGCAGGAGTGCAGATTGGAGGTGATGGTGAGGTCCACAGTGACAGCCTTTGGGTGAAGGTCTGACCAGTCTTCACAGCATCAGCATCCACTTAGGGAAAGTCAGTCCTATTTATCCTTTGTGAAAGTCAGGACTTCAAATCTTGGACCACCCTATTTGCTGTTAGCTTTCTCAGTGTTGATGAATCTGCTGAGGCTTCTTGTTGAGTCTCAGCTAGTGTTTTAATGACCCCAGCAGTAGAAGGTGGTAACTACCTTTTGCACCTGCAGTGTTAGCAATGGCCTTTCCTGAAGGTTAACTTATTTAAATTAACACCAGTAACAGGGCCTTCAAGGAAATTAACTGACTGGAAATACCTGGTAGAGTCTGGATACATAATTGTATCCCTACAGTACCTAGCATAGCACTTAGCCCATAGTAGGTGCTCAGAAGATGGTTGTCGAATAGAGGAAGGGAGAAAAGAAGGAAGGTATAACTAACTGAAAGAATGCCAGTTTTAGAAATGGTTAAATATGACAATAAACAAGACAGCAAGAAAAATAAAATCTATGAAGAGGAAGAGGTGGAATAAGCCTCTCCTCCCAAAGATGTCCATTTTTGAATTTCCAGAACCTATGAACATGTTAACCTTACCTGGCAAAAGGATTTCTGCAGATGTTAAAAAGTCAAGAATCTTGAGATGGGGAGATATCCTGGCTTATGCAGATGGGGTCACTGTAATGGCGAGAATCCTTGTAAGTGAAAGAGAGGCAGGAAGTCTGAGGAGATGGTGAGGATGGAAGCAGAAGTGGGACTGACGCTTGTCCTGGTTTTGAAGATGGAGGTGGGGGCCATGAGCTAGAGGAGGCAACAGCCTGTAGCATGTGGAAAAGGAAAGGAAACAGATGCTCCTCTAGAGCCTCCAGAAACTGATCTGGCTGACACCTTGATTTTAGCCCTGTGAGATGTATTTTAGACTTCTGACCTCCAGAACTATAAGATGATAAATTTGTGTTGTTTTAAGCCACATGTAG